CCCCAAAACCCCAAAACCCCAAAACCCCAAAACCCCAAAACCCCAAAACCCCAAGATATCTGCATAATTTTGAAATCTATTCTAAATTTATGGCTTCTAGATTAATTCTGAACTTCTTCTTGACTATCCTTTAGGTCTCCCTTGTCAACAGGATCGCTCTCATAGGCTCCAAAGTATTCTTTGTAAATGACTTCTTGCTTTCCTTCGCATATTGAGTCTCAAATGGCTTCCTAAACATTATTGGTGAGTTACGATGTTGTTGAATCGAGCAGCATTCGATTTTATAGACAGTTTATCAATGTTCGGGTTGTAGTAGTGCATCAGGTAGATCGACATGCTAGAACAGTTATCAACTCCCTTCAAGCCAATCAAGCTGAATCACATTTGGTAAATTCTTACTTATTTAGGGAAATAAAAAAGTCCATCCGGATCGACTTGGTCAACGATTTGAGCTTTAATGTTTTTAAATTCGCTAGAGTTGTCAATGAAGTGAGCATACCTGGTTTTGTGTAACAGTCTTAAGTTCATCCTAAAGTAAGTCAGAACAATGGGGGATCTCTTACTTCGTCTTCATCAGTGGTGATTCAGTAGAAAGGATACATAACAACAATTGAAAATTTAGCATTTCTGAGTTCTTCTTCAGATGTTAAGAAAAGCAGGTCTGCTCTTGCCTGGTCACAGTAGGTTTCGTTATTAGCCTCCAAGAAATAAATGACTGTGGAGAACTCGAGTTCTCTATAAAAATGTGGCCAGTATTCCCTCATAGTCTCGCTTGCTCATAAATCCCAGAAGCTGAGTTTGTCTCCTCTGCGGCCTACTACTTCTCGGAAGTCATACAGCTCGGTCGATGGAGGAAACTCACTCAGGTCTGGGGTTGATATGCGTTCAGAGTGAGTCATCAAGTACTGAAGCTGTTTGAGAAAGAATGATTTACCAGAAGACTTGGTGCCAATCACCAAAATCTGCTGTCCAAAAGTCTGAGATTTCAAGATCCCATATTCAAAGTTTCTATATTTTAATAGATCTAAGGGGTTTTGGGGTTTTGGGGTTTTGGGGTTTTGGGG